CAGAGGAGGTCCAGGGATGTAGAGGGGGTCCAGGGATGCAGAGGGGGTCCAGGGATGCAGAGGGGGCCCAGGGATACAGAAGAGGTCCAGGGATACAGATGGGTCCAGGGATGCAGAGGAGGTCCAGAGATGCAGAGGAGGTCCAGGGATGCAGAGGAGGTCCAGGGATGCAGAGGGCGTCCAGGGATGCAGAGGGGGCCCAGGGTTGCAGAGGAGGTCCAGGGATACAGTTTTCGGGAGGCTTTTGGGTATGCTGAATTTGATCACCCATTCTCCTTTAAGTAACCCCTCACCTGTAAGTAATCCTAATAAACTCATTGGCTTACCGATCTAGACTTTCATGGAGTAGTTTCTTTGGCCTATCATTGGTGTCCTTTCTAGGGTGAATAAAAATTTTGTATAGTCTCCTCAGAAAAAACACACAGCTAGGTCCCAGAGATCCAAAGAGCCTTCTAAGTATCTGCTCCTAATTAATGTTGTTTGTTTAGAAGACACTTACTTTGTACTGAATGAGCATTTGGCCAACTCTTTTATTACTATAGCGTCTTTACCTGTAACAAGTAGCAAAGTTGAGCCCTCCTAATCAGGAGTGAGGTAAGGATAATTCAATCAGACTCTTAGGACCTCTAACATACCCACCAGTGTCTATTTCAGAGTAATTAAAACAGGAAAGCCAAGGATCAGAGGCAGAGGAGATAGATAAGTCATAGGAAGGCTTTAGAATTGTGTGGGGTAGGTTTTAACTTCCAACTTGACACACCCTAACATCACCTGGGAAGAGAACATCAATTGAATTAACTAGCTAGGTAGGGCTGGCCTGTGGACATGGCTGTGGGAGACTTTCTTGATGGTTAATTAACCTAGTCCAAAATGGGTGGCACATTCCCTAGGCTGTGCCATGACCTGTGTAAGAGAGAAGATTTACTCTGTTTTTATAACTATAACTCAGCTGTCTTTTTTGAATTTTCTACCACCCCAGCCATTCTATTTCTATATATTCAGTTTGATTATGTAAATTAGATCATACGAAATGTATGTGGTGCCTAGATAATTTCATCTAGCATTATTCTTCTAGATATCTGTGTCGTCATTGAAAGTGGAAGAATCGCCTCTATTAAGTCCATGTGATATTCCATTCATCTGCACACATGCACACACACGCCGCTATTTCTTTATTCACACATATGATGATAAACATTTGAGTTGTCCTGTATCTTGTCACTCTCTTTTATTTTTTAGTTCTCAACACAAAGGTATGAAGACATTGACAGCTCTAAGAAGTGGGTGCATATATGTGAAGCAGTTCTCAAAAGACTTTCCTTTGTCACATAATCAGGGAGACAACTATTCTGTGATTATTATAAACAGACCGTTCAGACAGCCTGGTTTCCTGAAAGGGGAGAGAAATGTTATGCCCCTCTGATTTTGTACTCAAAACTTCTTACTGCCAGTGAAAGCCCAAATCAAACATTAAAAACAACCTAATTGCTAATCACCATATTTTCAAGTGTTCCATAATTAGAGGAAAATTTAAAGCAAATACAAGCATATTAGAATGTTTTTGCATGGATCCTCCATTTGTCTCTATCACACATAAAGCTAGACCCACACCTTCTCCTGGTTTCAGAGAATCACATCAATTTGCTCACACTGGGCCTGTTTCTCAAATGCAAACCCCTCTTTGGGTGTAGTCAGAAGGTGCCTTCAACAGCTTCACTGGCTGAGAAAGTTCTGAAGATGCACTAATCTGCGTTTTATCTTTTTTTTTTTAAATCACATTTGCAAGAAGCATCCTTCAGTCCGAAGAGTGGTGCTCATCGCCTTCACCACTTGTGCTGAGACTCCACAGCGTGAGCTGTCTGTCTCCTGGTGAAGGCCATGAGCTCTCTGAAGTTGCCTTCACTCTAACTTTCTCTAGATTTCTCCTCTCACTGGATAAAATACTAAGGCAGAAGAGAGGAACAAAAAAAGAAAGAAAGAAAGAAAGAAAGAAAATCGGGAAGAGAAGAGGAAGCAGGGGTGGCGGAGGGGACAAAAGAAAGCAGAGGGGAGGTCTCGCTCCCCTGCATTGAGATCCAACCTCCCTTCCCTTCATTTTTTAATGTTGATCTTTGTTCTTTGACAGTTCCGCCTAGGTATGCGATGAATTTTAGTCGCTGTTACCCCCATTCTCCTCCCTGAAATCTGACTTCTTCACAAGGGGTCTCTCTCCCACATTCATGTTTTCTTATCCTGTCTGACCACCTGAGTTTAATTAGAGTTTCTTGCATGGGTGTGGGAAGGAGGTTATTTACTGGAGCCTGGCAATTTGTCAGCAGGGACACCACTGAAGAAAATGGCAGCCCCTCCCCCAGCACCTAGAGCTGCTAATAGATCCTCAGAGAGTGGTGTCAGCTTCATTGCCCTGCCTATGACGAAACATTTGCAGGCCCAGTCCTGTGCAGGTAACAGCTGTGCACTGCGTTCATGAATGCAATGACCGTGCCTTATTCAGAAGATTGCTCTCACGAGACTGATTGTGGTCTGTTCGCCAATATTGATGTCTGAGGCACTATCTCATAGGCTGGCCTTGAACTCTTTCCTGGGCTCAGAGAAGTCCCCTGCCTCTGCCTCTTGAGTAGCTGGCACTACAGGCACATGCCATTACAGCCAGACTGCAGGACTGTTTCCAGAGCAAACAGCTCTAAATTTGCTAATGTAGAAATATTTTGAAAAAGCAATATATAGCTCTGCAAAGAGATATGATCCTGGCAAGAAGAGGGACAGAGACCTGAGTGTGCTTGTGTGGTGAGCTCTCTCAACAGCTCCATTGCCTGAACAAAGGAAACTTCGGAAGAGTAGCTGTGCTATGACCCCATCCATGTTCATTCAAAGCTGTGGCAATCTACAACACAGCCAGCGGGTTATCCAACTGCCATTATGAAGACTGTGGATTTATTTTGTGTAACTTGGAACATTCTTTTTATTTTTAACTTGGAACATTCTTAAGATGTAAGGCAAATTTTTTAAAAGCAGAATATTGGTTTCTTACTTACCTTTCTTGAGTATTTTCCAAAGTTATGAAATGTTTCAAAAATATAATTAATTTCTCTATAATGTAATATCCTTCTGGGTTGTTTTCAGCTTTTCCTACTCATATATAATGTTGACATAAACTTTTTTTTAGCCTACTGTTATTTTCTGATTCAGGCTTTCACCTTTGATAAATGTCTTATAATTACTGGTTTAGAAGAGGTGACCTTTTATTGTAATTACTGATTCATAGGGTGTGACCCTTGATGGGTTCTGCCAAATTGGTTTCCATAATCCACAAAGATTTATGTGATACTTCAAATTTTGCTAGTAATCTTAGTTATTTTTCAAGTTCTAATTTATTCAACAAACTTTTAAATTTGAAATAAAACAGTTATTAATGCCTTCTGTACTAAAGCCCAGCTCCCTTAAAGGTTCTAAGCACACCATTACGGGAAGACACAATTCCTACCTTGCTACTCAGTGCCTCGCCTCAGCCCAACATTGGAGAAACAGACATTTAGAAGTCAATTACAGTAGGATGTGAGCTGTTAGGGTCATGACTGAGTGCCGTGGGAATTCAACACGCTGGCAGCATAATTGTGGCGATGAACCAGATGGGCTAGATAATCCACTTCTCATTGGATCATCCTCTCCCACCTTCCAACAGTGGTATTAATTGAGGCAGGTCTGCAGCAGGGGAAGGAGCTGCTCTTCTTATCCTGTCTGAGTTCAAGTGTGAACTGTACCTGATGGGGACAAAGAAGGGAAATCCACTGTGGTGCTTAGTGGTAGCTGTCCATTTGATATGATCTAGAATCTCCTGGGGGACTGTGCCTGTGGAGGATTATCTTTCTCCTATTAATTGAGGCCAGAAGACTCAACCACTGTGGGCCGTGTTATTCCCAGGGCAGGATCCTAGACTGTGTAGCAAGAGAAAGGGAGCCCAGCAGAGTGCATTCATCTCTCTGTTGTCGCCTGAGTCTGGCTGCTGTGTCAGCAGCTGCCTCAGGATCAGCCTCTCTGACTTCCCCGCCATGGTGCACCAGAGCTTTGAACTGTGAACCGGAAGGAAACTTTTACCACTTAAATTGCTTTTGTCAGAATATTTTAACAGAGCGACAAGAAGAGAAACTTAGACATGTACTCGAGTGTATTCTCGAGGTCTGGCACCATTTATGTATTCCTCTCACAGATCCAAAAATAAACTTCCTTCCAGGGACACCTACACTCATCCTGAACCTGTAACCAGGCCTGGTTTCCCAACACCTCCACCTCCCTCACTACATAGACTAGAAGATGGGTACCAAGACGCTGAAAGCATCTCCTCCAACCTGGAAACACAGATTTCCAGGGAAGATAAAACCTAAGCTGCCACAGATATCAGTCTATACTCTGTGTTTTTCTTTTCCTTTTCCATTGCGTCGTGCGTGCGTGTGTGTGTGTGTGTGTGTGTGTGTGTGTGTGTGTGTGTGTGTGTGTTCATGCGCTTGCTTTTGGGAAAGGTTCTCTCCCTAGCCTGAAGATTATCACTTAGTCTAGACCAGCTGACCAGTGAGCTCCAGGGATCCTCCCATCTCTGCCTCCCACTGGAATTACAAGCATGTGCCACCATGACTAGCTTTTTTTTTTTTTAAACATGGATTCTGGGATAAAACTCAGGTTCTCCTGCTTGAAAGCAAGCACTTTACTGAGCTATCTTCCTCACCCCCACTCCCATATACATTAAATATACATATATAGTATATTTATATAAAATATTTCAGGAATTTCTATCCCATTGACTATATGCAGCTGCCAATATTTTATTGTTTTGAACCTGTAAAAATAATTCCATATGGTTCAATATAAAACCTGTGATTTAATTCTTCCCATTTCTTCCCAAGACTATCTGTATGACATATCCAATCAAAACTTTGTTTCACACCTAATGATTTTTGTAATACTTGCCCCAGACACAAATAAAAGAAGAAAAAACGTCATTAGCACAGGCTTGTGCTTGTTTCACACCTTCCAGTCAGATCACCAGGAAAATGGAGTTAGAATGCAGTATTTCCAAACTTGAAGCGGGAAAGGGTCACTGCTTAGTCAGCAGCAGAGAAGGTTCTATTCCATACAGCATAAAAATGTAAAAATGTAGGAGCCCATGTGGCAAGCAGACCCAGGAACCTTCCAAACAAGCCCATGCCAGGATGCAGTTCTATTCCGATACTGGCCTGGAACCAGATTGATCCTGATGTGTTATGGATCGAATAATGCTTTTACCTTTCCATCATTTTTATTTTTGCCTGGTACTTAGTAATAGTGAATACTGATGGAGTACAGTGTGACATTTCAGTACATGTACACAATGTATAATGACTAGATCGGGGTCACAGACAGACCCATCAAACAGTATTTATCATTTCCTGAAATTATTAGTAAATGAAACTCTTCAGGCACCAAAGAAAGGGGAGTTGAATTAGCCTGAATCAGATAGTTATAAAAATGTAGGCTGAGTGCTTTGGCAGAGGAAACTGGCAATCAGCAGTCTCTGAGCCTAGAAAGCTGCCTGCTTTATAAAAGCATTAGCATTCTCTGCCACAGTTCATTCACAATGTGAATTGTATGTGTGTGCACATTCATACATGCACAAACATGTATGAATGGTGTGTCTGGGTACTGATGCACATACTAGGGAATACATTGGGAGGCCAGAGGTCGACACTGTTCCAATACACCACAGTGTCTATAAATCCTGAGGCTCAGATTCACTTAGGAAACCCCATCTTCATGAGGGTTCTCGCTTTGGCTGTAGGAAAGAATCAGAAACATGAAACTAGCAATTCTCCAGTTCGGTCCCCACCTGGTGCTGGGTTCTAAAGCACAGCTCAGTCTCCTGTCACCTCCTCTGTCGAGAGCAGGTGCCAGTTCCAGCAATCCTCTTGTAAAGTCGTCTCAGTCCTTTGGGGTTACTCTCCTCCTTCCCCATCCCCCTCCTCCTCTTCCTATCTCACACCCCCTTGTCCTATTTCTAGCAAATATTGAGAATAACCTACCTGATCAAAGGAGAGGTTTATCTACACAGAGTCATGTGGATGTGTTTGAGAGAGCCCAGGATCTTTCTTACTCATGGTGAAAGGGAATGGTCCTGATATTTTCTTCATGATATTGCATAGAACTGTGTTTAAAGTTCAGCAGGTTTTCTTAAAAAACAAACAACAACAAAAACAAAAACTTCTTTTTTCATTTTGTCTATGGGTGTTTTTCCTGCATATGTGTCTATACAACAAGTGCACGCCTAGTGCATTAGATCCTTGGGGCTGGAGTTACAGCCAGTTGTGAGCTGCCATGTGGATGTTGGGAATTGGACCTGGGCCCTCTGGAAGAGCAGCCAGTGCTTGTAAGCACTGAGCCATCTCTCCAGCCTTGAACACGTCATCATCTTTATGAACACCTCTAGCCAATGAATTCCACAATGCAAGAGAGTGCATGTGACTTAGGTGCAAACCAAAACACTTAGATTAAGACAGATATTCACTCAGGACTGCTCCGGAACCTGGCATGCACTGGGGCTAGTCCAGGTTGGCCCACATGCAGAGCCATTCCAGCTCCAGGTGGTTTGTGATGTGAAGCACAGTAAGACGTCTGTCTACCAAAGAATAAATGCACCAAACGAAAGAGGCTAGGACAGCTGCTTTGAAGAACAGTGCAGGAGGAAAAAGGTGCCTAAGCAAGTGACAGATGGGATTTAGTGCCAATGGCCCCACTGAGGGGATGAGATGTGGTGGATAGTTTCAGTTGTCAACCTAACATGGTTGAGAATCACCTGGAAGAGTCTGAGTGAGGAACTTTCTAGATCAGACTGGCCTGTTGGGGAGTTGCTTTGATTGTCTTATGTGGAAAGAGCTGGCCCCTAAGTGGGCAACACCATCTCCTGGTTTGGAATCCTGGACTGTGTAAGACAGCAGGGGAAGCTTGCTGAGTACTAAGCATGCATGCATTTATTTCTCTTTACCCTTGACTGATCTGACTAACTGCTTCAAGTTCAGCATTGACTTTCCTGCTGTTACAAACGAAAACTGGAATTGAGCTCAAATAAACCTTGTCTCCCCTAGATTGCTTTTAGTCAAGGTATTTTATCACAGCAACAGAAATGGCATGAAGACATTAAATTGGAAAATTGCTTAAAAAGAGCTTGGTTAGGATCAAGGGTGGAGAGGTTTTGCCAAGCTGGGCTGAGTAAGTGAAGCCTGTTAAAGTTTAGTCAAGGAGAGGATCCTTGACAAATCTTACCAAATGCAAGAGAGCTTTAAATCAGCCATGTCCAAGGACACCCTACAGTTTCCAATCACAAGGACTTATCCTTAGCAGGGCATGGCAGTGCACACATGTAATCTCAGCGTTCAGAGGGCTAAAGCAGGAGCTTTGTGATATTGAGGTCACCCTGGACCACACAGCAAAACTCCATGGGGACGGGCAAAGGGAAGAGAAGCTGGGGAATGACTCGGCCACAGTTCTTGCTGTACAAGCATGAGGAACTGAGTTGGAATCCCAGCACCCATGTTAAAGCCAAGGATGGTGGTGCGGATTTGTAACTCCCAATCCTGAGGAGTGAGGAGATGGGCGGATCCTAGTGAGAACCGTGTCAGAAAATAAGGTGAGAGAGTAATTGAGGAGGACACTCCAACATCAACTTCTGTTCTTCACACATGCCTGCACAGGTGAGGGTATCCGTATAGACAGACACATAGTCACACAGACACACAGTCATACAGACACACACAGAGAAGAGACAGACAGACAGAGACAGAGAGAGAGAGAGAGAGGAAAAAGAGAAGAGAGAGAGAGAGAGAGAGAGAGAGAGAGAGAGAGAGAGAGAGAGAGAACAATCTCCAAATTAACAAATTAAACAAATCTACAAGTCTTCCAAAACTAGGATGTTCTCATCTCTTTACCCTGTGTAGTTTTTTTTTTTTTTAACTTTGCTTTGAAAACCTAATTATCCCCATTCTGTTTTATTAGGAAATCTGTTTTATCTTTGGATCCTTGTTTTTATTTCTGGAAAGCTAGATGGCATTAGTTTTTGAAACGAGAACTTATGGGGGCTTAATTGATGAAAGGAAGCACAATTGTAATTCAACCAAGAAGGACTTTGTGTGGCCCTTGATTTGCGGCTCATTGTTTAGCGGGGTTAAGTGCACACAAGGAAGACATAGGGACCGTCTGTATAGCTCACATGTCTATCCATCGTCATGGGGACTCTGTGAAGTATCCACTGACCTCTGAACTTCAAGAACTTTCCTATGTCAAGCAGCCCCTTACCTATACCTTGTCTATACAACCTACAACATGGAGGTATTCTATTATGTGGTATTATTAGTAAGTTTATAGAAGTTTTTGAAAAATGGGGGGGCATGCACACATGGGGGGCTGCTTTCCCATGCAAGTGAGTATAGAGACCAGTGGTTAACATAAAGGATGCTTTTTAATCACTCTCCAACTTATTTTTTGAGACAGGCTCTCTCACTGAGCCTGGAGCTCGCCTTTGAGCTAGGGTGGATGGCCACCAGGTCCCAGGAATCCACCCATCTCTGCTGCCACCCCAGCCTGTGATTACAGACTTACAGCACTGTGCCCAGCGTTTATGCGACTGTCAGGGGTCCGAACTTGGGTCCTCATGCTTATTCAACAGGCACTTTGCCTACCAAGCCATCTCTCCAGCTCCTGACTTTTTTTTCTAGGATACTGAGGATTGGCCAGAGCCTCACTAGGCATCTTCTTTACCAATGAGCTACACCCCCAACCTGAAATTCTGAGTTTTCAAGTTTCTCTATTGCACTCTGTGTCATGCTATTGTAAAAATGTCCATCTGGAGGTCATTATGAAGGGTTGGATAAGCATGACAGCAAATCAATCTGAAAATAATGAGTTAATGTGGAACTTGTGTCTGAAAAGCTAGATTTTCTGTGGGTTTATTTTTCTTGTCTTAAGATAATTACATCCAAGGAGATGTGTGCAAGAATGGTCACAACACCTCTTCTATTAACAGCACGTGTGTTTGGCAGGCTGCACACGTGTGCCGGAGGATGGTAGAAACAGCCAGAGTTGTATCAGCGGGAGAATGAGGAGGAAGTACTGAGGGGGTGACATGGTGAAAATCAGTGAGCTGCTGAATCAAAGGGGACTAAACATTAACAATTTTGAGAGAGAAAAGAAAAATTAATACCATCTACTGGAAGTGTAAAAATACCTGAAACAGTACTACTTCTTTCTAAGGGATATGTGCCGCATGTGTATAATTAAAGTGTTTTAATAAACCCCACTTAGGATAGAGGTTACCTCTGAGAAATGAAAGGAGATATGTTGAGGAAAGGGCTTCATTTGTCTGTTATGATGCTTCATTTCTGAAGGAATTTAGAGATGCATCTATTGTACCATACTCTACACTTTATCATATGTCTTAAATGTCCTCATGCTAAAGTTGGGTTGACCATGGAAAGACATTTCACACACTGGTCTGCCGAATAGAAGCACAGGCTCCATGAAGTGCCACAATTTTGCAGTGACAAAGGCTAACGTTGACTTAAACACTTGCTACCTGCAGCACAATTATAGTAATGCCAGTGCACGGAGCAGAACAAGCAAAGCCTCCCAATGTCATTGCTTAAAGAGCTGCTGCTCAGGCGTCGGGTTGTTAGATGTGGAATTACTCTCGTTGTTTACCTATGTGATGTGTACTCTCTGGGAAATATTTATGAAAACATGGGTAGTTAGACATGACCTTGAGATTGGATGCCAGATTGATAAGTAAGCACAGACTGAGCTGTTGAAGTTCAGGTGGCCCCATGAGAAGAGAAACCCCCTGAGTCACAGAAGCCAGCTCAGCAGAAAAGAGGCACTCACTATCCTTGGCTTTAAAGTCTGGTGGGGAATCAGTCACAGGGTCCTGGATAAAAGGCAGTGAGGCACGCAGGGGAACGGCTCTAGATTTCTTATAGGCAGTGACTCCTTCTTCCACTGCACACAGCACAGAGTCTTGTTAGGACACAGCTCAGACCATGTCAGCCCTCCAGAAGCTTCCCATTGCACCTGGGATTAAGGCACCACCCCTCACAGAGGCCCTAAGGTCCCTGGCCTGCCTGGCTGTCTCCCCTCATCTCTGCTTTTTGAAGTTCCTTATAAATGTTATTCATTATGACATTTTCATGCATTACCTTGTTCGTATTCATCTGACAGCTACACCTCCCACCCCTGTTCCCCAGCTCTCCCTGGCCCACTTCCCCCAGTAGTTCCCCTTTCTGCTTCCATGTGTGTGTAATTCTACATATAACTCCCACATGTGTAGAGGACATGCAGTGTTTTTCCTGTCTCTCTGCTTATTATCTTCTCTTGTTCTCTTCATTCTTCATTCTCTTGTTCTCTTCATTCTTCAATGGACATAGGCCCCTTTTGTTTTTATGACATGAAAGTAGCATATCTATATTCTGTATATGCCTTAGGGTTTCTATTACTGTGAACAGACACCATGACCACAGCAACTCTTATAAGGAAAACATTTAATTGGGCTGGTTTATAGTTTCAGAGGTTCAGTCCATTATCATCATGGTGGGGAGCATGGCAGCATGCAGGCAGACATGGAGCTGGGGAAGTAGCTGAGAGTTCTACATCCTGCAGGCAACAGGAAGTTGACTGAGACACTGGGTGGTATCCTGGGCATAGGAAACCTCAAAGCCCACCCTGATAGTGACACACTTCCTCTCACAAGGCCATACCCACTTCAACAAAGCCACCCCTCCTAATCCCTATGAGATTATGGGGGCCAATTACATTTCAAACTACCACAGTATACAAATAAAAATGTGCAGTATTTATGTTTCTGAAACTGGCTTATTTTGCTTAACATAATGGTCTCCAGTTCCAACTGTTTTTCTGCAAATGTTGTAATTTCATTATTTTTCCATTATTTTGTGTATGTGTGTGAATGTTGTGATGTCTGCACTTGTTCATGAGGGTGTGTACATGAGTGTGTGCATGAGTGTGTGCATGAGTGGGTGCATGAGTGGGTGCACGAGTGTGGAGACCAGAAGTCAGAGCCATGTGTCTTCTTTGATCACTCTCTGCCTTCTTTTATTATTATTGTGTAGAATGTTTGTGCGCACACACACACACACACACACACACACACACACACACACACACACAC